ACCGGCCCCACCCCCACCCCCCAATTCTGGGGTCCTCCTGGCTCCTGCCCCGCCCACTCAGGTTCTCCACACGTCCCCTGGGTGTCAGCCTGAAGCCTAGGCACAGAGCTCCCGTCCTGGGGAGGGAACGGGCGTCTGCTCTGGGTCGAGGGGCCAGCAGCTCCGAGAGCCTAGGCCGTAGTGGGGCTGCCGTCCCCGGTCCCTCTCCCTGCCTCCCGCTCCCTGTCTCCTTGCTGTGGGGAAGGGAGTGAGTGCACATGGCCAGTGGGTGCCCACTCTGTCCTCTGAAGTTCCCGAGGCGGGGGGTGCGGGGGGAGCTGTGGTCAGTGTGTCCGATGCTCCTTCAGGCCTCAAGCTCCGGGGGAAGGACATTGGGAAGCCGATTGAGAAGGGGCCCAGGGCGAAATGAGCACAAAGCCTCGAGGTCAGTGCGTTCCGGCTGATCGTGTCTGGCGGTTCCCCGGACCCCAGCGCCAGCGTGGCCTCCTCACGCGCCCAACGGAACACGGGTGTCAGCCTGCCTGGGACCCCACCCACCTGCTGTAAACAAAGCCTTGCAAAGTGTTCGCTTCTCCTGTGTGTGTCCTCCCTGCCCCGTCCTCAGCGAGGCGCAGACCCACCTCCCTCCCCAGATGTCGGCCACGTGGGCATGGTTCCCAGGGGAGCTGAGGGGGCCTCACGGAGGTGCGGGGTAGGGGCCAGTCCAGCCCGCGGAGGGAAGACGCCCGTCTGGCTGCTAGAGACGCTAATAAACTAATAAACGTTCGCTGCCCTTCCTGCTGGTGTGAGCATCTGTCCCACCGGGGCCTGCCCACTGCACCTCTGCTCCCTCAGGCCCAGGGTGTGTGTGTGGGGGGGGGTTCATGCCGGGCGTGGGGGTGCCTGAGGGACTGTGAATGCTAGTGGGTGTTGGCTGGCCTGTTGGCACCAGGCTCCGCCCTCCCCTGGCCCGAGTCCCCGGCCACACCCTTGCCCATCGTCCTGTGGGCCCAGAGGCCAGGGGAGCAGGCCAGAGGGCAGCACCTGGCTGTCACCCGTCCAGGCCCAGGCGGGACAGACAGGGATGGTGTGTGGGCAGCACCATGGTGTTCCCTTCCTCACATCCTTGGGGAGCAGCTGTGTTGTCTGGGGACCGCTCAGGAGTGGCACGGGGCGGGGGGCGCACAGGGACCTCAGAGCAGCATGCACAGGCTGGCCGGCGAGAGGGGCTGCCCTCCGGGCCGGAGTGTTTATTGTTGGGGTGAGGACTGCCACCACACGTGGGTGGCGGGCGGGATGCAGGATGAGGGGTGGGGACTTGGCACATCTGGGGCCAGGGCCGACAGGGTGGGGAGCTCCTGGGAGGAGCGGGTCCTCTGGGCCTAGGGGCCGTTGGTGATCGATGCTGGCAGGGTCACTTGATCCTAGAAAGGGGGAGGAGCCTGGTGAGGGTTGGGTGCAGGTGGGTGGGTCGAGGGGTTCCTGCCCCACTGCTCTGTTCTGCAGGGCACAGCAGCTCCCCGGCCCCCCCCCCCGCCTGCCCGCCTCACCCGGGGTCCTACCGCGTTGAAGAGGATGTTGTCAAAGCCGGGGGCCGCGGCCACTGTCCTGTCCCTGGAGGGGCAGCCCCCCTTCCGCAGCCATTGCCACCCCGTGAGTCCAAGCAGCACCAGGAGC